CACACACACACACACACACACACACACACACACACACACACACACACACACATGGGTTTGACTCCTGACTCTGCTACTTGTTATTTATATGAACATGGTCAAGTCTTGTGATGAGAGATTGGCTGGAATGGGTCTATTGATTATTTCCCCCAAAGCTGAAGTCTCCTCTCCCTTTAAAGATGAAATAGCCTAGTGGCTAATGAGAGAGAAATGCTTGGCTTCTTCAAATCTGCGGGGAAAAAAAGAACAGGGTGTCTTCCCACTTTGAATTCACTCATCAATTCAAGCAAGCCATTCCCACTGTTCATTCCCAGCATCATCTCCACAATGTCTAAACTTCAGTTTCAGGGTCATTTTTCAATACTGACATTCTGTGTCCCAAGGCTGGAACCACAATGCATAGGAAGCCTTGATAATTGTCTCATCATTGCCAAGTAGAGTTGTCTCTCCACTGAATCCCAAGGGTCCCATCCTAGTACTGCTGGTCCTATTCCCCATCACCAAGCCACCCTCATCATGGCAACTTTGGCCTTACTATATCACACATCACTGGGGTAGTGGAACTTTTTTTTTTTACCTCGGCCCGGGGAGTGGGTTACAATGACCGTGTGCTTTCTTCAAAGGAGGAGCAAAAAGGCAAGAAGAAGAAAAATACCAAAAAGAAATTGTCACCGAGCAACACTAATAAGGTCTCCCAGGGAAGCAGCTCACCTGAACCCAAGCTGGAGTCCCATAGCAGCAGCCTCACTGACCATGAGTATACAGCAGGAGCCAGCACCTTTGGCGGGGCTCAAGTCACTCGAGGCTCCCAGCCCATGGCACCTGGAGTCTTCCTCACCCAGAGGAGGCCGTCCTCGTCATCCCAGAATAATGCAGCTGCCAAAGGTACGGTCTCTTATGGGCTGCTGCTACCTTGACAAGGGGGTTCTTTCTCTGTAACTCTACACAGGGAACAGAGTAGATTTCCTAGAGACGATGGGGAGCTTGGTACCACAGTCTGTGCCCTCCTTAGGGCAGGCCATTTCCCTTGTGACTTCCTCCCTTTTTTTTCTGTACTAGAGAGCAAGTCAGTTTCCTTAGGTGGTTCTTAGGGTTCTTGCCTGAAATACGCTTCTGCTCCAGCAGCTGAGCTTTCTCTAGATAGCTGCCACAATTAGGGCTGTAGACAGTAGATGAAGGAGCAGCTTGACCAGGCTTCTCCTGAGGTTTTGATTGTCTTCAGCAAAGGCATCATTCTGGCTTCCGATCTTGAAGTGGGCCAAAGGGCAAGTACCCCTGGGGCAAGAGAAGCAGGAGGAGGAGAGAACTGAGTCAGGATCCATCAGGCTTTGTCTCATCAGCTTCGGGAGCCCATGGTGTGGTTTCTACCTCAAGGGAAGAGCTTCCAGCTCACCATTTCTGGTTCTTAACTTAGCATCCTGCTTGGGACCTTTTCTTTCCCCTGCCATGTTCCCCATTTAGGAGTTGATATTTATATTTGTTTACTATTGAAAGATTTCATATTGTCAAGGATTTTATACTTGACCTGGAGTAGGAATTTCAATGTTAGTTCAGTCATACAATAAATTCATTCATTTTTAAATACCTAACAATGCAAGATACTGTTCGAGATGCTAGAAGGAGGTATATGGGAATGATGGTATCCTTGCCCTTGAGGAATTGATATTCTAGCTGGGGAAGAGATAAGATAAGTAAACAACTAAGACTGGTAGGGTAGGAGAGTGCTTCCAGCTGGGGGAATCTGGAAAGTCTTCTAATTGCTAAATTACATGGTCCTTTAAGGTTTGCAAAGTACTTTGCATATGTTATCTTACTGGTCGTCCAAACAACTCTGTGAGGTGGGTTCCATTTTACAGATGAGGAAACTGAGGCTGAGAACAGTTACGTGACTTTGTCCAGGGTTAGAGGTGGGATTCTATTAAACTCCATGAGGGCAGAGACCAAGTCTCATCCAAAAATATCTCGTTGGTGCTGAGCAAAATATTCTGCATACAGTAGGTGTGTAATGAATGCTTGTTGAGTTGATTTGGGAACTTTTTTATTTGTAGCCCAAATCATAGTACTTAGACCTTAGACTTTTTAAACACCATGCATCGAAGTGGCAGAAAGTGCAGTGACTCAGGCTTCTGACCAGCTGTCCTTGTCCTCCAGCCATTTTATGCTGGTTTTCACCCAGGACCTTTGTAAGGGTAAAACTTCAATTTTGAGAATAGACATTAGGAAAGGTGAGAGAACGAGGTGGCAGAATGGGGAAAGTGGAGGAGAGGAGAGGAGGAGGCTTAGAGAAGGCTCTGCTAATTTCTGATGCTTTTGGGAGAAGGAGGCAAATGATAAGAAAGTAGCTCAGAAGAGGGATTTGATTTTAAAAAATACCCCTGCCCTTGGCTTCCAGGACATTTGGGGTTCAGTTCACATCTGTCCCAAGCTCCTTCACCTTCTCATTTCCTTACCTCTAGAGTGAGGGTATGGGACCAGATGACATGGAAGGCTGCTTTCAGCCCTAACATTCAGTGGCTTTATGTTTAAAAAAAAAAAAGTTGTATTGATACCTTTTGCTTTTATATCAATCATTTTTGGACATACACCATCCCAAAAACTTCTTGATAAATAAACCTTTCCTGACTGCAAAAAAAAAAAAATTAAGCTAAAACAACCAATACAGTGACCCAGAGCCTAGCACAATGCCCAGCACATAGTAGGTACTTAATTTGAGTGACTATCTCTGAGAAAATATGTGACATTCTGCCCCCACACTCCTTACCTTGCTGCCTTGGCTTTATGTTTTCCCTCTAGATCTGAACAAGGCTCACTGAAGCCTCTGAGAACCTACAGTATCCTCAGCTGTTCTCCACCCCTACACCCACCCCCAATATAGGGGGTGCAATGTCAGGAAAACAGAATAGGCAAACACATTTTAGCCCAAAGGGTTTGCCCATTAGCCAGCCCTGAGTTCCATCATTGTATGTGTGAGCATGTATTGTTTACTGCATGTTAGGCACTGTGGCTTTGATCACCAAGCATTCAAGTGATCTGAGGTGATCATTTCCCTCCTTTTGGCAATCTGTAAAATTGAGGGGGTTGGACTGGATGCCTTCTCAAGTTCCTGCCAGCGCTGAATCTTTGCGCCTACATTCTTCAGGGCAGTGGAGGAATACCTCCACGGTAAATGTACTTTAATGATGATCATGAGAACAGACAGTACTCTGTGTTGGCCTATTTCTAAACAAGCCTGGATCCACTTAAAAATGGTGGTGGGGGGGAGGTGTACAGGACCCAAGGGACATTTAGACTAGAGGACCTGGGTGCAGAGGGAGTCTCTGGACTTAACTGCTAGGTGGGGTGCTGCCTGCTGCCTGAAAAGTCAGGAAAGGCCATGGGTGCCCTCTCACTCTTCAGCCGGTGGGATTGTTTACTATCAGTTGACTTGGCAAACCACAGCATAAACAAACAGCACCTGCAGCTTTCTCTGAGAGTACTTGTCAGCTGCTGCCTTTTTTACTTGGTTTGTTGGGAGGAGAGAAAGGGGGAGCACAGGGAGGGGACCCAGAGAGCAAAGGGGATTATTTCCTTTGTTGTTTTTTTCAGATGCCCCGGGTGGGTAAGTTGTCTTAGATGGACTGCCGCCCTGGCCAGCGGTGCCTAAGGCTAAACTCACCCGGTGCCACTGGGCCATCGCTCTTTATGGAAGTCCCCCTGTTGAGGCAGGCAACAGGAGACATATAAAGTTAGGGAGTGTACCCAGAGGTGAAGGTATACTAGGGAGACAGCCCATCACAGACACCACTGGGCCCAGCCTGTCAGAAAGTCCTCACGGATTGATATTAAGGATGGAGTATTCATCTGTAGGAGAAATCCGCAAGCCCAGATGGAGCATAGCTCATGGTCCAGAATGTGGCTACCTTGGATTCAACTGGGAAGGTCTAGATGTTGAACTGGCAACTTAACCAGGTGGGGTTGAATCTCAGATTGCAGTATGCTGGTAAATGTTTAACAACTTACTCCCCATTTAAAAAAAATGTGTACAACACCCTTTTAAGTTTAATTGCATTATTAAGATAACCTGGGTGGTGTAACGAATAGAACACCAGGCCTGGGGTCAGGAAAATCTGAGTTTAGACACTTCCTAAGTCACTTACCCTCTATTTGCCTCAGTTCCTCATCTGTGTAATAGGGACACTCGGGAGAAGGGAATGGCAAACCCCTCTGGTATCATTGTCAAGACAGTGGATTGGGGCATGACTGAAAGTATAACAGCTACTATCACTTTCTGAAGTCTAGGCAGTCCACAGACAATCAGCCAAGCCCTGACTTGTGGCTGTTGCTGATTTCTGAGCAGCCAGATGTTCTCGGCTCCAGGTGCTTGCTGAGTCTGGGACAATGGCGGCACAGAAGGGCGAGGGTGAGGGGGGCTCAGAGATCATCTGGTCCCACCCTCTCCTCTTACCCATCAGGATAAAGGCCCTGAAGTGAAGTGATTTGCCCCAGGCAGTGTCAGACTTGGCCCGAGGCAGTAATGTAGTGTTTAGTGCACTGGATTTGGAGTCCAGAAGGACTGCATGTGAATCCCACTTTAGGGGGATTCTGTGGCCCCAGGCAAGTCTCTTACTGTCTTTGGCCTTCAGTTTGCTCATCTATAAAATTAGAGCTTTGGATTTGACCTCTTGTCTCTAACAACTCTAAACCTGTGATCCTGTATGTCTCCAATCATTCAATCAATCGGCAAACAGTCAAAAGGGGGGCTGGATTTGGAGTCAGAGTTTGGGTTTCCATTTATGATCACTATGATACTGAGCAAGCCTCTGGAGTTCTCTGGGTCACAGTTTTCTCATTTTTAAATGTAGGTCTATGAACCCATATTCCTTTTTAGCCTTTCCAGCCTGAGGGGGATCTCTTCATCTTTTAATTAATTAATTAATTAATTTATTTGGGTAGCCATTGGGGTTAAGTGACTTGCCCAGGGTCACACAGCTAGTAAGTGTTATGTGTCTGAGGCCAGATTTGAACTCAGGTCCCCCTGAATCCAGGGCTGGTACTCTATCCACTGCACTACCTAGATGCCCTATGGGATCTCATCATCTTTATCAAGTCTCCTGTGGTACCCTTGACCCTGGCCCTGGGAGCACTTGTAGTTGCCCAGCTCTGGGTCTCCTGTAGCCCTGACATATCTCCCCCAAGCCTCTTCTAACCCCTCTTCTTCCTACATGGTGATCTCTTTGGCTGCTGTTGCCCATTGCTGGCTAATACAGTATAATGAACTCTTGATCATTGCTGGGGTATCAACTATCACCTTGGGCCCTTATCCTGGCAGATCTTGCTTTCGAGCTCTTGTAGACATTATCTCCTACTTTGCTTAATTGAAGTCCTTATTTAACACCGACACTATCTCTGTTTACTCTCATTCTAGCCTGTCTATAGTGTTGTGAAATTCCTGAACTGCAGAAGGCTGTACCCAAATTCAGTGACAAAAGCCCATTCCAAAGCTAAATTCAAATCCAAAGCTGGGCATCAGTGCCTCTGGACAATGGAGAGTGGGCTGTAAGTGCATTTGAACATCCAGAGTGCCTCTGTCCAGGGTTCCCATGAAGCAACAGGCAGGCCTGGCCCTATGTGGACAAGCGGAATTTCATCTCTAACCTCCCTCTTGGAAGGTGGAGGCTTTTTCAGGAGAGCCTTCCAGACAGCAACTTGGTTGGCTCCGTGGTCCTGAAGCGTGGGAGAGGCTGACAGTCTTTATTGCATCTTTTTCTTTTCCCAGGAAAACGCACGAAAAAAGGCATGGCGACAGCCAAACAGAGGCTGGGGAAGATTTTGAAAATACACCGGAATGGAAAGCTCCTCCTTTAATACTGGAGAAGCCAGGACTTTTCTCCCCAGCCCAGGACTTCTTCCTGAGCCAACACTAAATCTTCAACTCTTGGAGGACTGCCGTAGTATTGCGCTTCATCCTAGGGAGGACCCCAGTTAACTTTTTGTCACCACTCAAAATAGTTGTTTTTAACTTTCAGCAGTCAGAGTGTACAGAGCACTGCTATAAATATTTTTTAATATAGACGTCCGTTCTCAAGTTGCTGAGAGTGACCATTTCGCAAAAAGTTAACCCAAGATTTTGAGGACCATTCCAGTCTTAGGAGAGGATCCCTTGAACTTGCTCCCAGTTGCAAGGTTGTTTCTCTTGAAGAGATGCTCATCAGTCTGGAGCACACTCCCTTTGAAAAAGGAAGTGTGGACCAACGCCATTGGCATCTGGGTACGGGAGCATGAAAAGAGGTTGGAGTTGGTAAAATTCTGGTGCTTGCCAGAGGTTAACAAAAGAAAAAAACACACACACACACAACCAGAAAAAGAGAGGGGACGCTCCGTTCTTTTTTTTTCTCCCCAAATCATTTTCAGACAAATGCCGAAAGCACTCAACTTGATTTCTGAGTTAAGTTCTTTTCTTCCCTGTTAGGAGGTTTGACTACAGGGGGGAGCGAAGGGTATTAACTGCACAGGAGCACTTGGAATTAGGAGACCACCTTGGAGTCCAGAGCAATGTCTGTTTATGCACAGGCATGCGGACAGGGTTGGGGTCTGTGGGGAGGCCCTTGGTGTGCTGGTGGTACTCAGCCCAGCTGTAGCTTCGGGGTGGAGACTGGGCTGGGCAAGTGGTGAGGGGGTTATGTGGGTACAGGGGTGGGGATCCCTGAGGAGCATAGGTTCTTAGCTAAGGTTTGGAGTTCTCCTGAGCTTGGAAGACAAGCTCCCTAGAAACTGAGGCCATGCAAGGTACAAGGACAAGCTGGGGAGGAACCCTCAGGTGAGCCCCACCCGGCTCGATAGGTGTGGCTGGCTCCCGAGAGATGGCCCCTCCAGCCACACCTCCTCACTGGCCACTCCTCCCCGCAGCAGAGGTTGTCCATTGATCACCTCAAAGCACTTACTGTACCAGTGGGCTTCAGCTCTGGGAAGTCTGAGGAGGGGCTGCACGTGCAGGCCAGCGAGGGTCTGGTGGCCAGACCTGGTCCAGTTGGGTCGGGTCGGTCCGGTCCGGTCCGACCCGACGTTGGGCTGATTGACAATTTGACTGGATACTTTTGTCTTTTTAACTCTTAGCGTTTGGTGTAGAGTGCTTTTAATCTTCCATTAAGCGGCTTGTCTGCACATAAACACTGAGGGGGGTGGGGTGGAATTTGTTTCTCAGGCAATCCCGTCTTTTAATTTTAGATGTGTTTTCCTAAGGCATATTTTTCATAGAATGTAGCTTGTAAATAGCTTTTTAAAATAACTTCTTTTTATAAGAGTAAAAGTATCTTTAGAAATTCCTTTCTATAGAATACTTCATTAACATTTATACAAGTCTTTTGCCCAGTATGATAAACTGTTGTATTTTCGTTTGATTCTTTAAAAAAAATTTTCTTTTTTTTCTTTTTTTTGTTTTGTTTTTCATTTTTGTTTTGTTTTTGTTTTTTTTACTTTGGGAATTAGGTATTGCCTGAAAAACAAGTCACGTTGGTGCAGTCTTATACAGAATCAAATAGTACAAAAAGAAATCTATTTAAGACACATTTTGAAGATGATTCTTCAACTTTAATACCAGCTCTTTGTTTTCATTCTTGTATGATGAGGGGAGGGGGGATACAGTTATTTTACTAGCACCTTGTGAAGTGTTTCTGTGTTTTGTGATGATGTAATTTATTAATGTTTGTAGCTTTTTATATTTGTATATTTCTTATGAGCTTTGTTTATATACCCATTACCTGGATGAAATGTCCATGAGAAAACAGCTACAGGAAACAACTGAGGCCTTATTAACTAACCCACATCCTGTTCGAGTGGGACATGGGCTAGGACAACGGGGAGGATAGCAGAGTTAGTCTAATGGGGCCCCAGACTTAATCAAAACAGGTGTTTTTAAAGCTTCCTTTGACACTGTTCTTGTCCAGCGTTTATATTAATCTAATCCAGGCATCAAGCTATTTTTTTTTAATTATTTTTTTTCTGCAACATGTACATTTCTAACAAAGTTTATTGTGGCTATTACAGTGTTTTATTTACTGATTCATATCAAATGCTCTTGTATCAAGTCCATGGAATCTAAGTAAACTTAGATCAAAGTTTAAAAAAGTAAAATATTTCAGGTTTTGTACAGAACGGTGTTTCTGCAGTTTTCTGCCTCATTGATCTGATGGTTACTGAAGTAGCAGTAGCAGGAATGGTTGTGGTATTTGTACTAATAGCAATTGTAACTGACATTTGCCCCTGTACTTGAAAGGTTGAAAAAGTGTTTTTTCACCCATAACCTCCTATAGTAAACATATGTGGGCTCACTCCAACCTTAACAGTTGCACCCATCCTCTATTTAACAGAGAGCCTTCTGGAGAGTGAGGGGAATGGCCACTTCCCCTCAGGCCTCAGTTTCCTCCTCTCTAAAGTGAAATGGTTGAGTTAGCTAGCCTCCTAAATTCTTTTCCAGCTTTAAGGGCCTGAGCTGACCCTAGAGAATGATAAAGTTGAAAAGTTGAAAAGATCATCTAGTCTTAACCGTTGAATGTTAGAGGTGATCCTATAAAACCACAGTGTGCCTGTCTGTAGCTCCCTGGACAATCTCAGGAAGCTGGAGATGCTGCCTCAGGATGGATGAGATTATCTCTGAAAGGGCCAGGGCCTCCACAGACCTTAGTGGTTTAGGATTAGCAAGACTCAAAGTACAGAGCTGGTTAAAAGAAGATGGTCAAG